ACTAGTTACAGGATATTTGTTTCTCTCTTTTATATATGTAACATTTATTCAGCTCCATCTTTGGACTGCACACAGTTGCTCCTAAGAAATCACATACAACCATAGAACTCTTGCAGGAAGCCATATATCTGATCACAAGGAGGCTGCCAATGAGACTGAGATGTGTGTATAAATGGTGCTAACTGCCCCTGCGTGGACAGATGAGATACTGCATGTGGTGAGAAATTGTTAGGAATAGTATACCCCAGGCACAAGTTGTGCCCTGCCTTCCTGATCTTGTGTCCTGGATCTGGAACAGACATGTGTACAGGGGTGGAATGACCATTTGGAAACTCAAGCACTGCCCGAGGGCCCGGGGTCAGTAGAGGGCCCCATGAGATGCCCCTGGTACCTTTTTCATAGGCTTTTTTGAGTTTGGGCAAGGACACAGGGGCCCCATGATCCCCTATTGCCCGGGGGCCCCATGAGTTGTCAGTCCGCCCCTGCATGTGTATCACATGTTGGGAACATGAATCTTAAAACAAACACAGCGATGACAGCAGCTGCCTTATTCGTCTTACATCCCTAAAGCCTCACAGTATCATTATGTTCAATTTGTCCTATGAAATCAGACTGCATAAAATATTCTTTTGTATCTTTTTTTTTTTTCAAGAATACTGCTCCAGCCATGTGTCTAGCTGCCTTTTCCTGGCATGGTATACAGATATTCTTGATACTTTCTGATGCAGGGTGTGCTCACACCAGGCGCAGTGCGGGAACATGTGCAAAATCACGTGTTTTCCTGCACCGCAGAAACGCACAGTGCCTCTTGCAGACATGTGCAGTGCTGTTAATTCCTAATGGCACCCCCCTCACAGATCTAGCAATGCACGTGGGTTAAGTGACCACCAAAATGCAAGAGACATCAGTTGCATGCGTTTTTTTGCAAAGTATGTTTTTTTTTTTTTTTTTTATAAATCATGCCGGCACCTTTTTTTTGCATGTTTCACACACATAGAGCAGCACTCTGAAATTGGTCTTGGATGTGCCTCCTGGTGTGAACAAACCCTAAATCACAAACACAACTGTACTAGATGAAAACATGGTTATGGTTGGATCTTCTATTGCAGAAACCATCTATTGCCACCAGTTGTGTATATTGTTGGGGATACTGGGTAAGAATGAGAAAAAGGGGGAGATGGAGAAGAAAAAAGAGTGAGGGGAGGGCTGAGGAGAGAAGATAGGAAAGGGTGGGGGATAGAGAGGGGTTGTAAAGTGGAGAATGGGGGATAAATATATTGCAAGAGTAAGGAAGGGGGCAGAGAGGGAGGAGAGAGGGGGGTAGAGAGGAGAAGGAGAGGGGGAGATTGAGAGGGAGGAAGGGAAAGACAGGAGAGGGGAGGGGGAAAAGAAAGATGGAGGAGAGAGTGGGGGGGGGGGAGTGGAGGGAAGGAGAGACAGAAGAAGGGGGGGGGAAGGAAGGGAGGGGAGAGGTATGAAGAGCGGGAGGGGGGAGAGAGAGAGAGGAGGGGAGGTAGACAGAGAGAGAAGTGCAGGAGGTGGTGGGAAGAAGAGGGGGAGAGGGAAGGTAAGACAGAGGGAGGATGAGGGAGAGAGGAAAGGGAAGGGGGAGAGGAGGGGGAAAGAGTGGGGAGAGAGAGAGGAGGGGAGGGAGACAGAGAGAGGAGTGCAGGAGGAGGTGGGAGGGGGAAGAAGAGGGGGAGAGGGAAGCTAAGACAGAGGGGGAGAGGAAAGGGGAGGGGGATGGAGGAGAGGGGAGAGAAGGGGGAAAGAGGGGGGAGAGAGAGAGGAGGGGAAGAGAGAAAGGGGTGATAGAGAAGGGGAGGGATGGAGAGAGAAGGTGGATGAGAGAGGGAAGAAGGGGGGGAGGGAAGGAGAGGCAGAGAGAGGGAGAGAGAAAATGGGGAGTGAGGAGAGAGAAACAGAGGGGAGAGAGAGGGGGGAGGGAGAGAGGGAGGGAGGGAAAGACAGGAAAGGGGAGGAGGGGGGAAAGAAAGAGGGAGGAGAGGGGGAGATTGGAGGGGAGGGGGGGAGGGAAGGAGAGACAGAAGAAGGGGGGGATAGGAAGGGAGGGTAGAGGGATGAAGAGGGGGGGGGAGAGAGAGAGGAGGGGAGGGAGACAGAGAGAGGACTGCTGGAGGCGGGGGGAAGAAGAGGGGGAGAGGGAAGCTAAGACAGAGGGAGGATGCGGGAGAGAGGAAAGGGGAGGGGGAGAGAGAGAGAGGAGGGGAGGGGGAGAGAAGGGGGGAGCGAAAGAGGAGGGGAAGTGAAGAAAGATAAGGATGATAGAGGAGAGGGCTGGAGAGAAAAGGGGGATGAGAGAGGGAAGAGGGGGGGGAGGGAAGGAGAGAGAGAGAGAGAAGAAGCGAGGAAAGAGAAAAGGGGAGAGTGAGGAAGGGAGAGAGATGGGGGAGAAAGGGAGAGAGACAGGAGGGGGGGAGGGGGTGGATAGGGAGGAGAGGGGGAAGAAGGAGAGAGGGAGGAGGATAAGAGAGGGAAGGGGAGATAAATATATTGCGAGAGAATGGGAGGGAGAAGAAAAAAGAAAGTTATAGATATAATAACAAGAGCAAGAGAGTCATTGATTCATCCAGGGCTGCTATTAGAAACCACGGGGCCTAACACAGCCAGCCTGGCAGGTCCCCCTCCCCCCTAAAAAAAAACAGTTTACTATGCTTCAGTTATGAATGAACAGAGTGAATGATCGGTACCGATCACTCATTGTGATCATTCAGGAAAGGAAGGGGCTGGTAAATGTCACATATTAATCGAACCCTTCCCCCCTCTCCATCCTGAAGGATCTTGTTGTGTACTTGCAGATGCCAGTGATAAGGAGAGGAGGAAAGCTGGCAGCACTGAGGGGGAGGGGACACACGGCGGAAATGTATGGTGCAAAGGGAGGGTGATGGGTGTGCTGGGGGGGCAATTACTGGAATCATTGGGAAAGAGAGAAGCCAGGTTTCAGCTGCTGCAGAGGGAACCATAGAGGGGAACAGTTCCAGTAATGCCCCACCCCCTTCCTGGTGTGCCACTCACCCTCCTTGCTCACATCCAATTACCCAGCTGCCTGGGCCCCGAAGGACTGGTGGTACTCCCTTATCCATGGCCCCGGATTCATAGCAAGCACACAGATCGGGATTAACGGCTTTTCTCTGACTGCACTAGCTGCATGCTTGTTGTTGGGGGTACAACAGCATGTACTATATAGTATTGTGTGTTAATATCACTTGACCAGTAGATGGCACTGTACACTAAGGTTACCAGTTGTGCATATGTGTAAAACGTGTTGGTTCCCTCTCTTCTCTCTCTCTCTTCATTAACCAAGATGTCTGCTGTTACAGTCTGCTGAAATGTTTTGTATGTTTGCAACTTAAGCCACACAAGTAAACCAAGTTCTGCCTCATCACAAGCTACTAGTGTCTTCTCTAACACATAACCAACACTTGTTTCATGTGAATAGCTGTCACAGAGGCCAGAGTCAGCCAGGCAACTAATATTTTCAGAAGGAACCCAGTGATGGCAGCTTCCTATCAGCGCAGTGATTCCTTTAGACTCAGTTCACACTATGTTTCAGACAGGAAGACGCAGCGCATTCCTCTGCAATTCACACGCTGCAATTTTAGCCCATTCATTGTGATGCATGCACTACTTTTGGAAATACGCTGCCACTGGATTGCATGGGAAAACGCACTGTGTTTGCGACCTGCCTTTGGGGTGTTGTTAACCACTTCAAGTCCGGATACTTTCACCTCCTTCCTGTCCAGGCCAGTTTTCAACCCTTGAATGACAATTGCGCGGTCATGCAATACTGTACCCATATGAATTTGTTAGCATTTTTTTGAGACAGATAAAACTTTATTTTGGTGGTATTTATTCACCACTGGGATTTTTTTTTTGTTTTGCTATATAAATGAAAAAATCCAAACATTTTGAAAAAAAGTGTTTTTCTTATAAAATTTAGCAAATAAATAATCTTTCTTCATAAATCTTGGCCATAATGTATTCAGTTATATTTTTAGTAAAAAAAATAACTTAGATTAGTTTATAACCAAAAATTATAATTTTTATACATTTTTATGTCATTTTTTTCATATTATTCATGTTTTTTTTTTTTTTAAACATACCGTCACCCTAGCAGTACAGTGTCACCACGGTGTCACCTAGCAGTACAGTGTCACCACATACTATTCATGTGATCTCTAAATGGCCAATCAGTGATCACATGATCGGGACCTCACATAGAGGTCCCGTACAGTGATCAAATTGCAGTGCCGTACACTCCCAGGGAGCGCGCACAGGCAGTGAATGTGGGCACCATTTATAAACGGCCACCCACTTCAGCACTGCTCTCGTCCAGCCGTTTATGTACATGGGCCAGGCGGGAAGTGGTTAACATTGACACCCGCTGCAGGCTGCACCCGCAGTGCGTTTTGAATGCCGATTGCGAGTTTCCCACACCATGCTCTGGTTTGAATCTAGCTTTAACCCCTCGCCTACAGGGCACTTATACCTCCTTCCTGCCCAGACCAATTTCCAGCTTTCAGCGCTGTCACACTTTGAATGACAATTGCGACACTGTACCCATAATACATTTTTATCATTTTTATTTTTTCTTAAACAAACCAAAAACCACAAAAAATTTTGAAAAAAAAGTTTTTTTTTCTTAGTTTTTGTTATAAAATTTTGTAAATAAGTGACTTTTCTCCTTCACTGATATGCGCTAATGAGGCTGCACTGATGGGCACTGATAGACTGCACTGATGGGCACTGATAGACTGCACTGATGGGCACTGATAGGTGGCACTGATGGGCACTGATGAGGAGGCACTGGTAGGTGGCACTGATGGGCATTGACAGGCATCACTGACTGGCACTGTTAAGTGGCACTGACTGGCACTGTTGAGTGGCACTGACTGGCACTGATAGGCGGGAACTGACTGGCACTGATAGGCAGCACTGACTGGCACTGATAGGCAGCACTGACTGGCACTGATAGGCAGCACTGACTGGCACTGATAGGCAGCACTGACTGGCACTGATAGGCAGCACTGACTGGCACTGATAGGCGGCACTGACTGGCACTGATAGGCGGCACTGACTGGCACTGATAGGCGGCACTGATAGGCGGCACTGACTGGCACTGATAGATGGCACTGATTGGCAGCACTGATTGGCATTGATAGGTGGTACTGATGGGTGACACTGAAAGGCTGCTCAGATGGGCACTGATATGTGGCATTTGATGTGCACTGGTAGGCACTGATATGTGGCATTGATGGGGCACTGGCACAAGGCACTGATGAGCACTGATACAAGGCACTGATGGACACTCCTCTTCTCTGTCAGCGTGACAGCTCAAGAGGAGAGAAATGCCGATAACCGGCATTTCCCTGTTTACATGTGATCAGCTGTGATTGGACACAGCTGATCACATGACCGAGCCGACATCTTCGGCTGTTTCCGTGATCGGTAATCAGCTGTGTCCGAGGGACACAGCGCACCGCCGATCGACGCGCTGCGCGCTTCCTGAGCCGCGCATGCGCAGTGAGAATGGGAGGACGTCATATGATGTTCTCCCAGAATGAGAGAACCGCCTTGTGTCCATCATATTACTATATGGCGGGCGGGAGGTGGTTAACAGCGTGCCACCCAGGAGCAATGCTTCTAACCTGAGCTCTGTTTGTGATGATCAGGCTGCTTCTGGCCTCCATAGGTGTCGATAATATTCACCTCCAGCCATCAAAGTCGATCGTTGTCATGCATTGGTTGGAAATCCCCCACGTGAGTCATACTTCCCGATGGCGTGTATGCAGCCGAATAGCAGGGTGAGCCGCAGTTCAGTATCATCGGAGGATGGGCACATGTCTCTAAAGCCAAGAATACACGGTAAGAAAATCATACAAAAAATTTAGTTGATCAAATGACCGACCGATTTTCTCTTCGTTGATGAGCAGGATGTTATAACCGATAACGATATTGTGAACGAAAAAATCCGGTTGAACAACAGTGAAAAATGTCATTTCACATGCATACCACTGATTTTTTTTTTTTATGCGGTGGTATGACGGTCGTCCAAAAAAAATCTATCAAGCGCTATCATGCATGAGCGGAAACAGAAGATGACCCGGATGTTTATGTCCAAGGATCCATACATCCAATTCATTCCAATTATGTCCAAGGATCCATAAATCCAATTCATTCCAATTATGTCCAAGGATTCATAAATCCAATTAATTCCAAGGATTTATGTCCAATCACTCGTTCTGGGCGGCAGGGCGTTGAGCGCTCGTTCTGGGCGGAAGGTCGTGGCTACAAGGTCACATGCACACTACATCACTTCCACTTGTATGGAAGACATCAACACTACGTATTGCTCGACGAATGTTTTTTTTCCATTGGTTAATGTGGGCCACGGTTTCGACCAACGAACGTACGCCGATCAGTCGTCAGATGACCGATCGGTCGATTTTCTTACCGTGTATTCCTGCCATTACTTTGGACAGCCTTGGTTGGTTGAGGTGCAGATTGGATTATCCAGATTTCCCTTTATTTTGCAGTCGGCACAGTGAGAAGCCATTACTGTCAGGTTGCTATGGGTGATTGCACTTTGCTAAACAAGCTGAGATGAGTCCCGCGACTCGACGTTAGTAATGAGCGCCAAATAACGACACCACCACACAGAGGGATAAATATGATATCTTTATTAAATATTATATATTTCCACACTTCTCATGGCTACCCGTGCATTCCTTACAATGAGACGCTCCATCCCTCACCTCATATCACAGTTTCATCACATTGCACACCGGAATCGTCTGAGGGAAGAATTACCTCAGTCTGTGGTGCCCATAGCAACCAATCAGACGTCTCAGACAATTCTAGCCCTTTCAGAATTGTGGCCCTTAGTTGGGGCCCCCTTTATCACTGTCTCTGAGAGGTCCCTTCATGCTACAATGGAAGAATATAAGAGGTAATAGGGTTGCTATGGACAACAAGAAAAATCCTCCTTCCAGACACATCGCTAGGCCCGAATTCCGGCTCCCATTGTCGGGCTGTATACATAGGCAGTGTCCGTATAGTGATGGTTTACAGTGACTGAGGTGCAAAAGCCAAAATGTACATAGCAGGGGACATTTATAAAACCAGCATGGCTGACAACACGGCAAGCTTGATTCTTCATGATGACTGTCATTTTCTGACGTATGCAGATTCACCAGTGGGCACTTTTTTTTTTTTTTTTTTTTTACGTTTTCTGAGGTAAATAATTAGCAAAATAGAAATTTGCTCAAACTGCCCAGCTCTCAGCTTGTTCAGCACATCGTTTTTTTTTTTTGCTTTTTCATGAGGTAAATATTGAGTTTTTCCTCAAAACTTACAACGCAATTTGCATCTTTCTATAACTCCAAACATAGAACTCTAAGGCTTCATTTACTTGGGTCATACTAAAGCGTACACTTGTGGACGGCCATGTTTACCCACACAGGGATGTACAGATGTACCATGTATCCCGACCCATACATTGGGATGCAGTAGATGCACGTTCAGGGGCCTGCACCATCACCCGCACCCACACAGATGTCAGACTGGCCGCTACGTTCTGGCTGGCATGACTGGGCCTGCCTGCATGGGAATGTATAGAACACCAGTACATCCCTGTGTGGGTAAACATGGCCCTCCATGGGCGTAGGCTTAGTACGCCACGTGTAAACAAGGCCTAATTTCCAGGAACAGTTTATCACTTTGGAAATGTATCCTTTAACCCCTTCGCGTCTCCCGGCCCTTTAAGAGGTATCAGACGCTGGGAGGCGGGGAGGAGTTTAGGGTCACATGACCGCTGTGACTAGCTGTCATGGCGGTCACATGATCGGAAAAGGTCCCGATCTCAAGAAGAGATCACTGAAACGTGCTGGGAGCGCACAGGCCTGTGCGCTCTCAGCACATGTTTGTTTACAAACGGTACACAAATATGCGTCAAGGCCCAGCCGCCAAGAGGCCATATATTTGAGTATGCTCGGCATGAAGGGGTCAGACAAGTAATCCTCAACCACCAGGCCATAGACAGCTTCCAGGCCATGGCCTCCCTCTTCCCAGGACTCTAACTAGCTTCAGATCCCCTAACCTTCCACAGTGCCTCCCAGCTCCCATAGAGCCACAACCTCCCATAACTGCCCAGAGTGGCCTTCTGCCGCCCCCACCGTTGGGGCATGGAAGGTTTTGAAAGAATTTACGGGACCGTGGTCTCAAAATGGGGTTGAGAACACCCAGTCTAGAGATGGTATAAATACAACTGGTCATCTTTCACTGGTTGATCAGCAAAGTGACCCTAGAAATGAATTTAAAATGTTAGTAACTATATCTCATATGTTAATATAAGAACTATAGGACTTAACCAGCACTCTACCACCATTAGAGGCCCCCTGCTGCCTTTGCCCATGTCATAAATGGCTGACAGAGTGGGACCAGGCCTTAAATCTAAAAGAAAACCACTTGTGTTGCCTATAGCAACTAACTCTCCTCTGAGAGGCGTCAGTGTAGAATTAAAATGGAAGGAAAAATCTGGTTGCTAGGGGCAACCCAGACAGTTTTGCATTCAGAGGCCTTCTTTCATGTCTGGACCATAGACAAGACTCAGCAACGACCATTTATAATACTCTGGTATCACCAAAATCGGAAGATAGGTACCTGTGCTGCCACTAATCAAATTATAGTTTTTCATGAAGCAGTAAGGCCTCATTTAGACATGTGGACGAGGGGTGTTAAAAAGCACAGTTGAGCCACATTTTATCGCCCCCCCATAAGCTGCAATGGCAATGGTTGCAGTGCTTAACAGCAAAATTCATCCAACCCGTAGTGATCGGTCCAAAAAGTGCAACCTATTTGAGTGAATGGGGAAGCACCATAAATGCCCTGCATGCGGTTGAGGCACATTTGTTCAGCAATAATGAGGTTAAAACAGGCGGTGGGGAGGCTTCATATCGCCTCCTCACCTGTCAATAAAAAGTGATCTAAACACAGATTGTTTTTCAGAGGTGCGGCATTTTAGAGGCAGGTCTTCACCCAGCCTTAAAGGGCTATTTGTTCAATATAGGTGTGGATTTATTCAGAAATGCCGCAAATGCACCAAAAACTTTAGTGGCTTTTTTTTGTTGTTTTTGAACCAGCAAAATCAAAGCAACGCGTGAATTCTCTAATGTAGCAAAGGCCTGTTAGTTATCCGTCGGAAATAACAGGATTCATTCACCCCTAGATCAAAAAACAGGAACACAAACCCTGAGGAATGGGAACTAGGGTAGAAGCTAAAGCTAAGGCTGAACTAGTAACTCAATGACAAAAAAGCAGTAAAAATGGGAGAAATAATCACATAACTCCTAAAAGTAGGACAAGTTTAGTCAGAAATACACTGACTCTGAAAAAAAAAATTGTTGAACGAATGTCACATGCATTTGTGTACGCTGCACAAATTTTGGCCGTAATTTCACTAATAGGGCAGCACAGTGGCTAAGTGGTTAGCACTTATGCCTGGCAGTACTAGGGTTGTTTGTTCATATCCCAACCACAGCACCACCTGCCTGGAGTTTGCATGTTCTCCCTGTGGCTTCTGGGTTTTCTCCAGTTTCTTTCCACGCTCCAAAGACATGCTGGTAGGTTAATTGGCTCCTGTCTAAACTGGCCCTAATATGTGTATGTATGAATGTGAGTTAGGGACCTTAGATTGTACACCCCTTGAGGGCTAGGGACTGATGTGAATGTACTATATATATATATATATATATATATATATATATATATATATATATATATATATATATAGTACACACACACGTAAAGCACTGTGTAAATTGACAGCACTATAGGAGTACCTGTAATAAGTAAAATAGATTTATTCCAATGATCATTAGCTCCATCTAGTGACTAAAATGCAGTATAGTTTCTCATTAAGGTATTTCAGAAAGTAGTGCTGCATTTTGGCCACCAGATGGAGCTGATAATCAGAGGAATTAATCCATTGCAGAAATTACGGCCAACGTTTGTGCCCAAACGTGAGTGACATTCGTCCGATGAATGCTTTATAAACAGATACCTTTCAGTTCCCCAAGGATTCATAAACTGCCCACCAAGGAAAGTCTGGCTCAGATCTGTGCAAGGTGCAGAAGACACCCAAAATACAAGTTCACCACGCAAATCTATTGTTCGCAAAAAGCACCATAAACTAAAACTAAAACAAAGGAAAAAAAAGGCAAAACCAAGATCAAAGTTTAAAAGTATTGGTAGTAATTAAAAACTATAACATGCTATCTTATTTATTCCTTCACTCCCCCCCCCCCCTCCCCTAACGGTCTTTAACCCCCAGTTTACATCTATGTGGCTGTGCGGGCTGCATTTTGCACGAACACGAGACCCCATTCATTTAAATGGACTCCCGTGCCCGTGACCCCCAGTTCATATATATGCGGGCTCGCATTTTGCATGGGCATGAGAGCCCATTCATTTGAATGGACTCCTGTGTCTGTGACACGCAGAGAAGAAGTCCCTGCACTTCTTTGGAAAATGCAGCCGAGGTTCCCAGTACGGTTGCGTTTCCCAGTGCGGGCAGCATGCCATTAGAACTAATTGCAACCGCCCGCGGGTCCACAATTCTCTGTGCGGGTGGTGCGGCTGCATGGATTTTCGTGCGGATCTGCAGTGGCACCACCCGCACAGATGTGAGCCTAGGGTAAAAGGATCTAAAGGCCAGGAGGCAGAGACAGGTTTTCCAAATTTCTGAGCGCTGCAATTGGCTGTCACAGCAGTCACATGATCGGAAACTCTCAATCACAGTATGCATCGGTAGCTGCCTGTGACAGCTTAGTTACTGTACAGTGAGCGCATTCTCAGCACAGAAAAGTCGTTCCCCATGGACGCCTATGTGTGGCAGTTCGATGTTAACGCAAATTGCGAACAGGCAGGCTCTCCTGCAATAAGATACACCTACCTGCCTGTTGGCTGTCTTCTCTGGCATGCAAACTGAGCTGTGCATGCACAGTTCAGCCCACACGACAGGCACTATCACTGTGTCCCAGGATGACAGACTCCTGTGCAGTGACGTCATCCCGCACCAGCCAATGAAGATAGCCAAAGATTGGCACACAGGAGGAGATGACAACTCCAGCGAGGGTTGGGACTGTTGAAGTAAAGGTAAGTTTAGTTCCCTGTTCACACCTGGGCAATTTGTTGCACTTCAAGAATCAATGCACCACAAGAAAAATCCCATTTATGTCTACAGGCCTTTTCACATCAATGCACCGTGGTTCCATGTGACTTGGACAGAGGTGCAGGTGAGTCTTTTGGGGCAACATTTTGTGCATTTTTGGCCCCATAGACTTCAATGGGAGTGCATGAAAAACATATGAAAACCACATAGAAAACGCATAAAAAAAGCACCTGAATAACACATTAAAAAGTGTCAACCTAATAAAAGATGACTGTGCTCAAACCACAGATCCTTTTGATGCTTTTTGAAATGTATGGACCTCTACCAGGCTGGACAGCCAACATGGTGACACCACCTTCTCTATAACCCCTGGTTCACATATCCGCGTTCCTGCGGGGGCCGTGTTTTGCCCAGGCACGAGAGCCCATTCATTTGAAGGACTCCCGTGCCACGCAGGGAAGAAATCCCTGCACTTCTTCTGAAAACACAGCCCGCACAGGAACCTCAGTTCCCAGTACGTTTGCGTTTCCCAGTGCGGGCGGCGTGCCATTAGAATTAATGGCACCCGCCCCGCGGGTCCGCATTCTTCTGTCTGGGTGGTGCGGCTGCACGGATTTTTGTGCAGATCCGCAGCGGCACCACCTGCACAGATGTGAACCTAGCCTTAGAGATAAAGGAATACAGTGGTGTCACCATCCTGCCCCTTTCCAGTGACTTGGGCAGTGAAGGTGCAGCAACACAGAAAGGAGTTATTGCAGCAGCACGCTGCTTTGCAGAGGAGGCTAACATAAAGACGGACTGAGGCACTAACACTAGCTGTATTTTAAAACAAAATCTGATATGTTTCTGGTATACACAACTGCATTTTTAAGATTTGCCTAGATCTCTGGGCTCATTCACACTGTTAGCTGAGAGCCGGTAAAACCCCACAGTTAAGCCGCCTTATTACCGCTCCAATTCACTACCCTCCTTAGCTGAAAAGTCAGCGGCCAGGTGGTGTACATATGCTGTGGCTATGATGCTTTGCTTCTTGGCCATAGCAGGAATTATACCCCCTGCTGTTTATGGAAGGCATAGCATCTGCGGAGCACAACCCATTGGGGTTGCAAGCGCCCCGAAAACGCAAGCAATTGCAGCACGCTAGTGCGGGATGCTGCCTGTCCAATGCTCTCTGACCCCCGGTTCACATCTATGCGGGTGGTGCCGCTGCGGATCCGCACGAAAATCCGTGCAGCCGCACCACCCGCACAGAGAATTGCGGACCTGCGGGTGGGTGCCATTAGTTCTATCGGCACGCGCCCGCAATGGAAAACGCAACCGTACTGGGAACCGAGGTTCTCGTGCGGGCTGCGTTTTCCAAAGTAGTGCAGGGACTTCTTTCCCTGAGTGTCACAGGCACGGTAGTCCATTCAAATGAATGGGCTCTCGTTCCCGAGCAAAACGGGGCCCGCGTGGCCGCATAGGTGTCAACCGGGGGCTTCATATCGCCTCCTCACCTGTCAATAAAAAGTGATCTAAACACGGATCATTTTTCAGAGCATAGGTCGCATAGGTGTGAACCGGGGGTGAAACCTTACAACTTAAAAACAGCCAGGACCACTACAGGAAACATTAACTGCCCACTCACCATTATTAGGGGTGTTGTTCTTGAGGCCGAAATATATCCAACCAAAAAAAACAAAATAAATAATGCAAGCAAAGAGCTCACTCTAAAAGATGTCCCAAAAGGAACCAAACCACGGCTTAGAAAAAAAAACGCAAATTTATGAGTTTATTAAATAAAAAATTATAACATTGGTATATGCTCTCTGAAGAATGATCCGAATGTGGATCACTCTTCAAGGATGAAAGCACATCTGAATGTGCTGTAAGCAGTGTACGTATCTAAATGTGAAATCAGCATCTTGTACAACTGAGCTCACACGGCAGGAAGGAGAAGCAGCACAAGGAGTCAATCAGTTTTACTGCAGTGCAAGGAGCATGCCAATAGGAGGAGACAGAAAAGTGACCTCACGTGTCTGCTGCATCTCTTTGCACTGTCCAGTCACAGGCTGGGGGAGGGACTAGACCTGTAAGTGTAACTGAAATGCAATGGAGAAAACCCGGCCTTGCTCCCCTGCCAAACAGGGCCGTGCTGTACGACAGAGCTGTGTAATTCTCAGGACAGGATGGCCAGAAAAACAAATGTTTTGACAAACAGTTCCTTTATGTATTTCACTTGTATATTTAGCTGTTTGCCTGGAGTTCAGCCACTATCTCTGAAAAAGGCACCAACACCCCCATGCACTCAGAGTCCATGGGGTGAACCTATGGAAAGAAACCAAATGCATTAAAGCAGCTGTAGCAAAAAAAAAAAAAAAAAAAAAAAATATATATATATATATATATATATATATATATATATATATATACTGTATATATATCTATATCTATATATATCCTCATATTAGTTCTCTCTTTGATACACTCATAGGTATCCATTTTACAAGGCATCTTTAAAAAAACATCTATCTATTCTATATATGGAGTAAAACTCAATAAATATACTCAAAATATCAACAAGAAAAAATGTAAAAAACATAAATGAATATGTTAAGATTCTCGATATGGTAGAGAGTGCTGCTTATGATCCCACCTTTACCTTTCTGTTCTATTACTAGAGAGGAAACAATTAAATATTCCCATAAAAAAAAAAAAAAAAAAAAACAAAACAGGATAAGAAAATAATAATGCCTAAGAGGTTGTGCGTATAAATTCGAATACAGTGTAATTCAGGCACTCCCCCACCCCGTCTTATGTAATGGAATGGCCCATTACGGGAAATGTGTTTGGACCGTCTTCCCCCATTGGCATCCACAGCTTCAGAGAACCAGACTCATCCAATTACATCCAAAAGGGGAGGAGAGATTTGTAGATGGCTTTGTTCTGATTGGTTAATTAATCCCTCGGCTCTGTTTGACGGGTTTCCCTGCATCCTTCGGAAAGCTGAGAACGCTTACTTTCTAGGATTCCCTTCCATTCATCCCGCCACGACTGGAGCCTCCTGAGGGGTGAGGTCGTATGAAGATGGCGATTGTGGCAGGCCGTGAAGAGGATGTGTTCCCAGCTGGGGTTGGCTTCTGCTCCTGTGAAGGAAAGAGACTGATTGAGGAATGAAAGTCTCACAATGTTGTACATAGTTAATGTAGCACTACCCCCTTAGGAGTCGCTGAAGTTTTGGGTCCTGCACAGCCAGTCAACACGCATTTTCACATAGACCTGCATCCAGGTGACAGTAACCAGTCCTTGAATTTTTTTTTTTTTCAAGGGGAATTCAACTTGGATGGGATAAAGGGTGTATGAGATGCCCAAAGGGTATAGTAACTGAGGACAAACTTTTCTGGAACTATATACAAGTCTTTACAGCAAAATTTATCTTCTGGAGAGCTAGCCAGCATCTCCTGTAGTACCACCCCAGACCCCAGATTCTCTTAATCTGGCTGTTCTGGGTGAATCCCTGGGCAGGGGATCCAGTGCCTGTCACTGTAAATGTAGGACAGTCCTGGGTAGTTGTTAATCCAGTTTCCCACTAGTGTGCTCTTTCCCCTTACTGGCCCAGGAGGTGCAGGTCTACTCACGCAGTCCTTCTCCCATGCTGCTGGTGGGTCAATGGCTGCTACCAAGCCATCTAGCTGGGCCGCTACTTCCCTGCTGCAAAGGTGGTCCTCTCTCTGGGGGCCAGTGAAGTCCCGAGCTTTCCTCCTTCCAAGATCCTCTACCTGTAGGTGAGCCTCTCTCCATCTGGACCCCCCTCCCAGGCTCCTGGTAGGTCAATGGCTGCTACCAAGCCATCTAGCTGGGCCGCTTCTTCCCTGCTGCAAAGGTGGTCCTCTCTCTGGGGGCCAGGGAAGTCCTGAGCTTTCCTCCTTCCAAGATCCTCTGCCTGTAGGTGAGCCCCTCTTCATCTGGGCCCCCTCCCAGGCTCCTGCTCTCCAGCCTCACTTCTCCATCTTCCACCCAAACTCTCCTGCTACTGAGCAGGCTCGCTCACTCTTAAGGGCTGTCATGGCCCCAAGCCAATCCTCCTGTTGGATGTTGGCCAAGAGAGTGCAGACCAGCCACTCCTCACCTCCTCCCACTGCTTCTAGAACTTTCTCCAAAGTTCTAGTGCAGGGGGAAGTCCCAGATAGCTGATCTACACAGCCTCTCAGCTCTGAACCAAATTTGACCACTGCTAGCTATCACACCCAGGCTGCTACTCAGCCCTCCTGACTAACAATTAAAACTTTAGCTCCCCCTAGCTGACTAGGAGGGTGCTACATTAAAGTGACACTCAATTATATCCTTTTTCTCCCAAAATCCACTTTAACCACTTGAGTTCTGGAAAGTTTTACACCCTTCATGACCAGGAACTTTTTTGCTAATTCTCACTGCGCTACTTTAACTGGTAATTGTGTGGTCATGCGATGATGTACCCATTTGAAATTGATATTTTTTTTGCACACAAATAGAGCTTTCTTTTGGTGGTATTTTATTTTATCACCACTGGGTTTTTTTTTTATATTTTTGCAATATAAACAAAAAAAATACCAAAAATGTAAAAAAAACCCCAAAAAACTTTTTTTTTTGCTTTCTGCAATAAAACATCCAATAAAATTAAAAAAATCAAATTTCTTCATAAATTTAGGCCAAAATGTATTCTGCTACATGTCTTTGGTAACAAAAAAATCCCAATAAGTGTATATTGATTGGTTTGCGTGAAAGTTATAGCGTCTACAAACTATGGTATAAAGACTAGAATTTGTATTTATTTTATTTTTTTTATATTACTCATGACGGTGATCAGCGACTTATAACTGCGGCGGGCAATCTGACACTCACGCTAGGAGGGGGATCTGACTAACTGCAACTGGTATCACCAGTGCCATTAATACAGTGATCACTGATAATGCTCTTCACTGTCACTGTATTAATGGCACTGGCTAGGAAGGGGTTAACCTCTAGGTCGATCAGAGTTAAACATGTGTCTAACGATGTGTAATTTGTGTACAGTGTGCTGCTTTTACTACTAGATCCCTCAGTTTCTCATCCCTGGTTTGCAGGGATGAGAAACTGACAGATCGCTCCCTCTGTACACAGCTCTGTGTTGTTTACCAACACAGAGCTCTGGGCTGTGATTGTACACAGCCTATCAACATTTCCCGGACGTGAATCGTTGGCCGGAACTTGCTGGCAGTGGGTGCGGGCGAGGGGGGACATGTGCGCATGCCTGATACCCGGAAGTAGGCGGCGACAAATGAGTACGTTGCTTTGCCTACAGCGTCCACCTGTCCACAGTACATTGTAGGCGGGAGGTCGTTAAGAGGTTAAAGTTAGATAATGCCCTTGCTGAAGGTAGAGGCCAGTTAAGTACCTACTGAAGCCTGGCCAAAAAACTCCCAGAGATGGAATCATGCCTTGTTGCTAGGATGTTGCTAAGACACTCCCAACTGTTACTGTGACAGGGTATAGAAAGCTCATGGAAGGAAGTTTGAATTGGCTGGGAGTGTCTTAGCAACATCCTAGAAACAAGGCAGGAAGGATGATGTCATCTCTGGGGGTTTTTTTTTTTTGGCCAGGCTTCAGGTCATTACTTTGGTCAAAGTGGCACAGTTTGTTTTTACATACAGGTGCTCCATGTTCAGGTGTGATTCACATGTGATTCAATGCGGTGCGATTTTAGACCATTAAATTTGAAGAGGCTGAATTGCACCATAATGCAGCAAAAGTAAGGCATGCACTGCTTTAAAAAACGCAGAGCAACCAGATTGCATGGTACTTCAGCACCATGTGATCCAGGACATGCAAATGCACTGCGTTTAGGGTGTCATTGACTTAACACTGACACTCGCTGCAGAACGCAGGTTTCCTGCACCGCATTGTGCCATGAACTGGTCTTAGGGTTCATGTACACTGCAGCTGATAAACTCACGTTTAGGAGCTGTTCAGTGTTTTTTTCAGCAGCCCCTGAACTCCCTCTAATGTTTTCCTATGTGTCCATGTACACATCGTCCTTTACAGTTGTTTACAGCCATTTTAGTTTACAGTAGTTTTTTTAATGCAGTCGATTTTATCAGCGTTTCAAACGCAAAACCTTGTAAACGCGGCAAATCGCGTTTATAAGCATTCACGACTGAAATATTTTTTTTAACTCTTCCAGTTCCCGATGCTGGCCAGAGCCTTTTTTCATAATTAAAAATGCATGCAAAGCGTTTTCAAGGTACTCAGATGGACAAAACACTGAACACAGGATGTTCCCACCAAGTTTGTCACACATTGTAATGACCAATTCACACCTCAGACCTCTCCCACCCTTGGAAACAAAAGATATGTTAATGACCATTCACACCTCAAATTCCTCATGAAGACCCCCCGCCAGGTGGCCTTAATGACTCCCTCCACCAGACACCTTTCCCACCCTTGGAAACAAAAGAAATGTTAATGAGCAACTCACACCTAAGTTAATCTCAACACATACTGCTGTCTCTGCTTCTACTCCCTGTATTTCTCTGAAACAGTCTGAAATAGTTAATAATTTACCACTTTTCAGTGCATTCTGGGCATTTGGGAGGTTCTCCTGTGCTTATCTTCAAAAAACGCTTCTAAACGCAAACGCGCATAAACGCGGTATGCAAACGTGGCTAAAAAGACGTTTTTTTAACCTACATTTTCCAGCAGTCAGTTTCCATCGTTCAGAAGTGTCCCGTGTACATGGGGCCGTAAATGCAATGAAAGAACAATGTGGACTTCTAATAACCAGCAGACACTTTGCTGTGTATACATGGAAGATGAATGCAGACGGGCATCTCACAGCTTTGTAATTTCACTAACACACACACAGCACCCTCCTGGGTACAGGGAAGGGAAGAGCGCCACCCACAGTCAGCTGATTGTACAGTATCTCAGCTAAAGTGGTGTAAGGTGCGCACTAGCTGTTCATGGCCATCGCTATTACCTGTTTATATCAGGCCGGTCATCAATCAGAAGGTCGGCAGAAACCACAGTTTTTATCTCTAGTCAGAATAATCTGCTCCAAAAACTCGTGTCCAAAGTGCTTCTCCACCCAGGCATACTGCCAATGAGAAAGACAACAGCATTAGCATCAGAGTTTACCTACTTACTCCTTGGTACTTATTTTCTTTACTCTCCATTTTTCTGCTACAAGGGTGCTACACAAATGATGAAACACAAAATTTAACAGTTTACATATGAATTGTTAAAAAATAGTTAAAGTGGTTGTAAACCTCAGACATGAAATATGAACAAAGCATATCCCCTCTATAGTGTGTACATGTCTCAGCCCAGAGCAGACATGAAATAGGAACAAAGCATATCCCTCTATAGTGTGTACCTGTCTCAGTCCAGAGCAGACATGAAATATGAACAAAGCTTATCCCTCTATAGTGTGTACTTGTCTCAGTCCAGAGCAGACATTAAATATGAACAAAGCATATCCCTCTATAGCAGTGGTTCTCAACCTTTCTAATGCCGCGACCCCTTAATACAGTTCCTCATGTTGTGGTGACCCCCAACCATAAAATTATTTTCGTTGCTACTTCATAACTGTAATTTTGCAGTGGGAGGACTAGTGCCACATCATTGGTGTCAGTGGGATGAATAGTGCCCCATCGTTGGTGTCAGTGGGGGGAATAGTGCCCCATCGTTGGTGTCAGTGGGGGGAATAGTGCCCCATCGTTGGTGTCAGTGGGGGGAATAGTGCCCCATCGTTGGTGTCAGTGGGGGGAATAGTGCCCCATCGTTGGTGTCAGTGGGGGGAATAGTGCCCCATCGTTGCATCGTTGGTGTCAGTGGGGGAATAGTGCCCCATCGTTGGTGTCAGTGGGGGGAATAGTGCCCCATCGTTGGTGTCAGTGGGGGGAATAGTGCCCCATCGTTGGTGTCAGTGGGGGGAATAGTGCCCCATCGTTGGTGTCAGTGGGGGGAATAGTGCCCCATCGTTGGTGTCAGTGGGGGGAATAGTGCCCCATCGTTGGTGTCAGTGGGGGGAATAGTGCCCCATCGTTGGTGTCAGTGGGAGGAATAGTGCCCCATCGTTGGTGTCAGTGGGAGGAATAGTGCCCCATCATTGATGTCAGTGTGGTGGAGGGGGAAATAGTGCCCCATCTTTGGGGTCAGGGGGGGGAATAGTGCCCCATCGTTGGTGTCGGTGGGGGGAGGAATAGTGCCCCATCGTTGGTGTCGGTGGGGGGAGGAATAGTGCCCCATTCTTGGTGTCGGTGGGGGGAGGAATAGTGCCCCATCGTTGGTGTCTGTGGGGGGGAGGAATAGTGCCCCATCGTTGGTGTCAGTGGGTAGTGAGGAGGAATAGTGCCCCATCATTGATGTCAGTGTGGTGGAGGGGGAAATAGTGCCCCATCTTTGGGGTCAGGGGGGGAATAGTGCCCCATCGTTGGTGTCGGTGGGGGGAGGAATAGTGCCCCATCGTTTTGGTGTCGGTGGGGGGAGGAATAGTGCCCCATTCTTGGTGTCAGTGGGGGGGGAGGAATAGTGCCCCATCGTTGGTGTCAGTGCGGGGGGGGGGGAGGAAATAGTGCCCCATCATTGGTGTCAGTGGGAGAAATAGTGCCCCATTGTTGGTATTAGTCACACAAATGATGGGGCACTATTCCTCCCACTGACACCAATGATACTTACCTTGCTGACCCCTGCTCCAGCCTGGGCTCGCTCTCTCACTTACCTGTCAGCTGTCTTCCTTCTCTGGCCGCTCTCCTCTTCACTTACTCCGGCAGTTCCCTCGATCTTCTTAGATCTACGCGCGCTGCTGCTCGGCTCCTCCTCTCCAAGCTCCACCTCCTCGCCGGTGATTGGCCGCCTGTGTGCCTCTCCTGAGCTACAGTTCCGGTGGCCAATCAGCGGCGAGGAGGCGGAGTTGTTGAGGTGTGGCCAGGTGACAGGGCAGCGTGTCATCCCGCCCACACATCGACTGAGTCAGAGGAGCGGTGTCTCGGTTCCTAAGACCATCGGAAATATGTGTTTTCCGATGGTCTTAGGCGACCCCTGGTAAATGGTCGTTCGACCCCCAGGTTGAGAACCGCTGCTCTATAGTGTGTACCTGTCTCAGTCCAGAGCAGACATTAAATATGAACAAAGCCTATCCCTCTATAGTGTGTACCTGTCTCAGTCCAGAGCAGACATTAAATATGAACAAAGCATATCCCTCTATAGTGTGTACCTGTCTCAGTCCAGAGCAGACATGAAATATGAACAAAGCATATCCCTCTATAGTGTGTACCTGTCTCAGTCCAGAGCAGACATGAAATATGAACAAAGCATATCCCTCTATAGTGTGTACCTGTCTCAGTCCAGAGCAGACATGAAATATGAACAAAGCATATCCCTCTATAGTGTGTACCTGTCTCAGTCCAGAGCAGACATGAAATATGAACAAAGCATATCCCTCTATAGTGTGTACCTGTCTCAGTCCAGAGCAGACATGAAATATGAACAAAGCATATCCCTCTATAGTGTGTACCTGTCTCAGTCCAGAGCAGACATGAAATGTGAACAAAGCATATCCCTCTATACTGTGTACCTGTCTCAGTCCAGAGCAGACATGAAACGTGAACAAAGCATATCCCTCTATACTGTGTACCTGTCTCAGTCCAGAGCAGACATGAAACATGAACAAAGCATATCCCTCTATAGTGTGTACTTGTCTCAGTCCAGAGCACTAAGTGTCAATTCTGTCTGCTGCCTTGTTCCTCTGCTATCAGCATGAGTCACTTCTGAAAAGTTTTCCTGACACCAAGAGAAAAAAAGGTGACAGGGGAGGGATCTCCAGCACATAACCTGTGACTGACTCAGCTCTGTTCCTGTGTGCTGTGTGAAGGGCAATGTGTCCCTTCCCTCCAATCAGTTTTCAGCTCTCCTCATGGAGCTCTGCAGAGTGTAACTTCAGCTCCTCTCCTCCACTTTCTGAAAGCTCAGACAAGCTTTATAAATTGTGCACTTCGAATGGCTGTAGAGAAGTAAAGACTGCAGATACTTCAAACAGATGTTGCTGGCAAAAAGCCTGGGGAATATTTGCATCTACACATGTAGAAATGTCCATACATCTCAATCGCCCCCCCCCCCCCCCTTTCCTGCCCTGCCAGGCCTGTGCTTGAATCAAGGGTCTGGTAGGAATTTAGGGAGGACCCCACACCCTTTGCTTTGAGACCACTGAATATTGTTCTCTAACGATAGGAGAGACGGATGGCTGTATCAGCCAGTGAGGGAGCAGTTCCATAGGGACAGACAGCAGCTCTTAGCCATCCCACCTCTGTCAATGTCTTACTAGTGGCAGAAAATTGTCCTTGGAAATGTTTTCTTACCTTTTCATATGGACAGTACTGATATCGTTTGATTGGACTGGTGCAAATGAAGACATCCGTGCTATAGGACAGAACAACAACACAGTTAGTATACCATTTACACTTAGAGCTGAAGTTTCATGTGCTTATATTGTGTCTTCCCTGATTCCTCCCTCCTCTTATCGACATGCTAATAAACATTTTTAAATAAAACCTTTCCATTTGCAAATACATTATTTTAGACCCAGTGGTGTCATCATTGGGTCTCTGTCCTTCTCTGTGCAATGCAGGCACAGGTACATCCACGGGTACACTGACCAGCCAGGGGGTACACCAACCAGTCAGGGATACAATGACCAGCCAGGGGGTACACCAACCAGCCAGGGATACAATGACCAGCTAGGGGGTACACCAACCAGCCAGGGATACAATGACCAGCTAGGGGGTACACCAACCAGCCAGGGGTACACTGACCAGCCAGGGGGTACACCAACCAGCCAGGGATACAATGACCAGCTAGGGGGTACACCGATCAGCCAGGGATACAATGACCAGCTAGGGGGTACACCAACCAGCCAGGGGTACACCAACCAGCCAGGGATACAATGACCAGCTAGGGGCTACACCAACCAGCTAGGGATACAATGACCAGCTAGGGGGTACACCAACCAGCCAGGGATACATTGACCAGCTAGGGGGTACACCAACCAGCCAGGGATACATTGACCAGCCAGGGGGTACACCAACCAGCCAGGGATACATTGACCAGCCAGGGGGTACACCAACCAGCCAGGGATACATTGACCAGCCAGGGGGTACACCAACCAGCCAGGGATACAATGACCAGCCAGGGGGTACACCGACCAGCCAGGGATACAATGACCAGCTAGGGGGTACACCGACCAGCCAGGGATACAATGACCAGCTAGGGGGTACACCGACCAGCCAGGGATACATTGACCAGCTAGGGGGTACACTGATCAGCCAGGGATACATTGACCAGCTAGGGGGTACACCGATCAGCCAGGGATACATTGACCAGCCAGGGGGTACACCGATCAGCCAGGGATACATTGACCAGCCAGGGGGTACACCAACCAGCCAGGGATACAATGACCAGCTAGGGGGTACACCGATCAGGCAGGGATACAATGACCAGCTAGGGGGTACACCAACCAGCCAGGGGTACACTGACCAGCCAGGGGGTACACCAACCAGCCAGGGATACAATGACCAGCTAGGGGGTACACCGATCAGGCAGGGATACAATGACCAGCTAGGGGGTACACCGATCAGCCACGGGGTACACTGAACAGCCAGGGATACAATGACCAACCAAGGATAGAATGACCAGCCAGGGGGTACACCGACCAGCCAGGGACACAACAACCAGCCAGGGGGTACACCGACCAGCCAGGGGGTACACTGACCAGCCAGGGGTACAGTGACCATCCAGGGATACATTCACCAGCCAGGGGGTGCACCAACCAGCCAGGGGGTACACTAACCAGCCAGGGGATACACCGACCAGTCAGAGGATACACCAGCTAGCCAGGGGGTACACTGACCAGCCAGGGGGTACACTTTTCTGCCAGAGGATATACCGACCAGTCAGAGGATACACCAGCTAGTCAGGGGGTACACTGACCTGCCAGGGGGTAAACCGACCAGCCAGGGGTACACTGACATGCCAAGGGCTAAGAATGACCAGCCTGGGGGTAAACTGACCAGCCAGGGAACGCATTGTCCAGCTAGGGGGTTAGCTGACCTGCCAGGGTATACATTGACCATCTAGGGGGCACATTGACCAGCCAGGGGTACACTGAGAAGCCAGGGGCTAAGACTGGCTAGCCAGGGGGTAAACTGACCATATAGGGGGTATACCAACCATCCAGGGAATTTACTGTCCAGCTAGGGGGTACACCAACCAGCCAGGGGGGTACACTGACATGCCAAGGGCTAAGAATGACCAGCCTGGGGGTAAACTGACCAGCCAGGGAACTCATTGTCCAGTCAGGGGGTACACTGACCAGCCAGGGGGTATACCAACCATCCAGGGAATTCATTGTCCTGCCAGGGGGTACACTTACCAGCTGAAAACTGAAATCTTCAACCTGTTCTGTGCATTACACAGTTCTGACCCTGCACTGTGACTGCTGGACTATATACCCTCTGTCCTAAACTAAACAATTTTGGGGGTGTCTATACTCTACTGGCATTTTCAGGCCTGAAGAAAAGCGACAGGCAGCCAGATCATCACATTTTTTTTCTAATTTTTGCCCTTTTTTTAATTACATAGAAAAAAAAAATCCATGTGGTTAATAAACCAACAAAAAAACTCTATACATCTAAAAAATATGATGTAAAATGTTTTCGGGTAAAATGTTGAATAAATAAGTAATTGTCAAACTATCACAGCACTGAAAACTGGAAAACGGCCCAGTAATGAAGAGTTTTACTGGCTAGTGCACCGCTGGTCACACTAAACACCACAATCTGAACTAGAAATAATCTGAGCATGAACAGTCAGGACCAGGCTGCAGCGTGCCACGTCTCTACCCAGCTGCAGCATTAATCGCTATTATAGAATATTGGCAGCGATAACATGATGGACTGCGTTCCGCATTTCAGATTGCCACATCTTGCAGTGTGGATGGAGTACAGTACATACAGTACATGTCAACACTAGAAGCTGACCGATTATTCAGAGAGATAAGCGGCAGTCGCTTTCTTTGCCTAAGGCACGATTGTGTTTACCACATAAACAAACAATATAAACCAACACTTACTGCAAGACATATATCCATAGGGTATATAGAAGTCCCTGCACTTCTTCTGAAAACGCAGCCCGCACGGGAACCTCAGTTCCCAGTACAGTTGCGATTTCCAGTGCATGACATTAGCACTAATGGCACCCGCCTGCAGGTCCGCATTTCTCTGTTTGGGTGGTGCACGGATTTGTTTGCAGATCCGCAGCGGCACCTCGCGCACAAATGTGAACCTAGCCTAAAGGTTCTTTTTTTTTAATAGCAAACATGTCTATATGTACCTGCTCTGTGTGGTGGTTTTGCACAGAGCAGCCTGGATCCTCCTCTTGTCGGGTCCCCCGCAGGCTCTTCTGACCCCTCCCTCCTGTCGGATGCCCACACAGCAAGCAGCTTGCTGTGGGGGCACCCACTGCTCCATATCTCCATTCACACACAGAGCAGCGGCTTAGCATAGCATCGCCCCCTCTCTCTCCTCATGGCTGACTAGCTGTGATTAACAGCAACGGGAGCCATTGGCTGTCTCAGCCAATGAGGAGGCAGAGACCCGGGACAGTTGAGGCTGTCACTCACATCGCTGGATCGCGATGAGGCTCAGGTAAGTATTTAGGGGGCTGGGGGCACTGCTGCACACAGAAGGTTTTTACCTTCATGCACATAATGCATGTAAACAACCTTCAGCCTTTGCAACCGCTTTAATTGAACAAGCTGAGGCTACCATGCACAGCAGCGCCAAATTCTGAGTGCACACCTTTTTTAGTTGGTCCCCCCTATGTCTTCTTACACTTCAAAAGACTAGAAAAACATCCTCTGTTCTGCAATTAGCTGATGTAAAATTGTGTTGTATTCAACTGTGTTGAGTTAAGCTGCCTGTGGATGGTGCCGAGTAAGCAGGTGACCATACTATCCAGACAGACTGGTCAAAGGAGGTGTGTCAATGGATAAACCAGCATTTGAACCAGAACAAGGGTAGTGATAGGAGATTTGGATCTCACACGCAGGCTCAGATCTAGAGGTGTGCTGGAGTTGGCTATGCCCCTCCAAATTTTAGTGGTGTGAATTCACAAATCCAAGAGACCAGATGGGGACAATTGATGTAAGAGGACTCTGATGGGGACAATTGATGTAAGAGGACACTCTGATGGGGACAATTGATGTAAGAGGACACTCTGATGGGGACAATTGATGTAAGAGGACACTCTGATGGGGACAGTTGATGTAAGGGGCACTCTGATGGGGACAGTTGATGTAAGGGGACACTGATGGGGACAATTGATGTAAGAGGACACTCTGATGGGGACAATTGATGTAAGTGGACTCTGATGGGGACAATTGATGTAAGAGGACACTCTGATGGGGACAGTTGATGTAAGAGGACACTCTGATGGGGACAATTGATGTAAGGGGACACTGATGGGGACAATTGATGTAAGGGGACACTGATGGGGACAATTGATGTAAGGGGACACTGATGGGGACAATTGATGTAAGTGGACTCTGATGGGGACAATTGATGTAAGGGGACACTGATGGGGACAATTGATGTAAGGGGACACTGATGGGGACAATTGATGTAAGAGGACTCTGATGGGGACAATTGATGTAAGGGGACACTGATGGGGACAATTGATGTAAGGGGACACTGATGGGGACCATTGATGTAAGGGGCACTCTGATGGGCACAATTGATGTAAGGGGACACTGATGGGGACAATTGATGTAAGGGGACACTGATGGGGACAATTGATGTAAGGGGCACTCTGATGGGGACAATTGATGTAAGGGGACACTGATGGGGACAATTGATGTAAGGGGACACTGATGGGGACAATTGATGTAAGGGGACACTGATGGGGACAATTGATGTAAGTGGACTCTGATGGGGACAATTGATGTAAGGGGACACTGATGGGGACAATTGATGTAAGGGGACACTGATGGGGACAATTGATGTAAGAGGACACTGATGGGGACAATTGATGTAAGGGGACACTGATGGGGACAATTGATGTAAGGGGACACTGATGGGGACCATTGATGTAAGGGGCACTCTGATGGGCACAATTGATGTAAGGGGACACTGATGGGGACAATTGATGTAAGGGGACACTGATGGGGACAATTGATGTAAGGGGCACTCTGATGGGGGCAATTGATGTAAGGGGACACTCTGATGGGGACAATTGATGTAAGGGGACACTGATGGGGACAATTGATGTAAGAGGCCACTGATGGGGACAATTGATGTAAGAGGACTCTGATGGGGACAATTGATGTAAGGGGACACTGATGGGGACAATTGATGTAAGGGGACACT